AAGAGAAGCCAGAAATGAGAATTTCATGCAATATCCCCAGAATTTTAAATGTTGGCTACTAATTCAACATGTTTTAAAACAGAGAGGTGGTCAACGTGCCACCTCTGCTCTTCAAGGAGAAGGCATTCTGTATGAGAGGACAATCCTGTCTTCCACTTGGATGTTGTGTGTGTCATTGCCACAAACCCGTGTGAGCCTCACGTGAACCTGTGAGATGGGCAAAAGGTAAGAAGCTTGGACGCAGACATCAGGCTCCTTCCCCCGGAGGATTCTGTTCTCCCTCCTGGGTGACTGGCCCAGGCCTGTGGCTTCTCCCTCTCCAGTCCATTCTGCATTCTTTAGCCAGAGCAATCTTTTTGAAACTCAACTCTGATTAATTCTGCTCCTTCAACCTTCAGTCCCCATCTTGGACTCTATTTTTTTTTTTTTTTTTTTGCGTCTTTCTTCTGTGTTTCTGTCCATAGCCGCCTTCTCACTCCCTGCATCCCCTGTGAGAGTGAAATGCCATTGGCTGCTGTGCACAAGGTGGTGGCTCATACAACGTGTCTCTACTGCCCTGCCCTCTCTCCTGAGACTCACACACCTCCCGGGCATCTCTGCTTGGTGGAGTCACAGGCTCCTTCAACTCAGTGACCTCAAAGTTGTGCCCGCTGTTGTGACCCCGGAGTTGTGTGTCTCCTTCCTTGACCTCAGTGTGGGTGAAGGACATCCATCAGCCACTGCAACAGAAATCTGACTCTTCTTTTCTCCCACAACAGTCAGCACCAGATCTCCTCTTTAATCTCTCACACCGGCCTCTCCCATCCTCACTCCATGACCCAATAGTTGCCTCCCCCTCTTCTTTCCAGACCACGACTGCCTCCTACAGCCTTGACTTCCTGCTTACAGTCCCAGAAGCCTTCGGTCCACTCTTCACAGCCAGCCAGGAGCATGATCGGAACCAACATGAGCATGACTTTCTCCTCCAGGATGGTGGGACTATCTTCATGTGTCTGCAGTGTGGCTCTGGCATGCCACACTCCAGCCATCCTGAACCCCTGAAGCTCCCAGAGTGGCCACATGGCCATGTACCTTGTCGCTGACCTTTGTACCTGCTCGTGTCTCTGTCGTCAAGGCTCTCTCCCCCACACTCCAGGTTAACACCACTTACTTTGAGTCTCAGTCAGGCGGCACCTCCTCCAGGAAGCCTTTCTTGGCCCAGCCCACCATGGGCTCCCTTAAAGCCTTTACTCCACACAGCTGGTATCACATCTCCTTGCCCCAGTCCCAACTAGGCAAGGAACTACTCAAGGGCAATGCCACATCTTGGGTAATTCATCTCACTGCCCACTAGAGTAACTAGCAGTTATTGGGCACATAGTAGGTGCTCAATAAATGTTTCTCGGATGATCGGATGAATACCCGGTCATTTAGTTATTGGCACAGGGCTAGAACTCAGACCTACGGTTCTGAAACCCCTGCCGTGTCCAAGACTCTAAAATGAGCTCTATTTTTTAGAACATAGTGAAATCATGGAAAGAATTCTTAGGATGTGCTCGGTTTAGAAACAACCTCCCTCCAAAGTTGAGTGACACAAAACTTCTTAAAGCCCAATCAAGGTCAGCTGTGGCCTCACACAGGTATCGGCTGGGCTGGGAGCCTTGTCAGGGTTCGGGGAGGAAATCGCGGCGGTGCCTGACCCTGGGTTATGCGCTCTCTTTCCCGGCGAGGCCACCGTGGTTTCCGAGCTGCCCAGAGCATCTCCCCGCGGCGCCCTCTAGTGGGCGCAATGCCTCCTAGGAGGCGGGCGCTGGGAGGAAGCTGTGACCGCCCCTACCGCACCGCGCAGCCTGCAGGCATTCAAGTCCCGGGTTTTAGAAGGGCTCCGTTCTCCCGTCAAGCAAGAATCGAGCTCGACTGCCTGTTGAGCTGCACGGAGATAAGGTGGAAAGGGGAGGCCCGTGGAGCCCGGGAGCCCGGGAATCAAATCCGTGCTCTGCCACTTCGCAGCGCAGCGCTGTGGCCGCGGGCGTACCCCGAGCCCAGCTTCTCCCGCAAAAGGAAAAGGGATGGCTGGATCCACCTACCTGGCAGGGCCGCCGGGACGCGCAGCGCAGCGCTCAATACACCACGGATTTTATGGCTACTCAGTACGAGGCTGGTGGCTGTTTCACGTACAACACGCGTGCCACATGTTTTTAGAGTAAAAGCATTTATTCATGGGAGCAGAGAGGCGAAACGCAGCCGCGAGACACGGGCCTCCCATGGGTGGGTGCTGGGTCAGAGGGAAATGCCTCATCAAGGCTGGAATTGGTCTGGGTGGACTGAGGTTCGAAAGGATCGGTAAGGAACTAGGTTCTCTTCCAAGGATGGTGTCCAGGAGGGCGCATATTTTGGGCAATTGGAAGGCTGCCCTGCCCAAGCCGACTCCTGGACGCCGCTGTCCTGCCCTTGCCCAAGGGTCTGGGGTGACCAGCAAGCTCTGGGTGACTGTGGAGGCAAATGCCGCAGGAATCACAATGAACCCCAAGACAGGCCTCTCACCTGTTTCCCGTTTTTTTTTTTTTTTTTTTTGATACGGAGTCTCGCTCTGTCACCCAGGCTGGAGTGCTGTGGCGCAATCTCGGCTCACTGCAACCTCTGCCTCTCGGGTTCAAGCGATTCTCTGCCTCAGCCTCCAGTAGCTGGGATTACAGGTGCCCGCTATCATGTCTGGCAAATTTTTGTATTTTTAGTAGAGATGGGGTTTCACTATCTTGGCCAAGCTGGTGTTGAACTCCTGGCCTCAGGTGATTCACCCACCTCGGCCTCCCAAAGTGCTGTGATTATAGGCATGAGCCACCGCGCCAGGCCTCCCCTGTTCTCAAGGGGTGCTGTCCAATACAGTAGCCACCAGCCATAAGTGCTATGGAGCAGCTGCAATGTGGCTAGTGCATCTGAGGAAATGCATTCTAAACTTTAATTAATTGAAATTTAAAAATAGATACTAATTCCATAGCTGCAAAACCTTTGAGTATATTTGAAACAATTTGAGGATGTGTACATTTAATGAAATCTAAATACAGATAAAGTTTTTCTGATGAAAATGTAATATTTGAATTGGGCTCTAAGTGTAAACTTCTCATGGGATTCAAAGACAATATGCAAAACAAAGGGCAGAATGTCTTGATAATTTACAGTTGAAATGATATTTTAGATATATTGGGCTAAATGAAATGTATGATTAAAATTAATTTTATCTGTTTCTTTTTACTTTTTTCTAATGTGGCCACCATAGAAAGCTACCTACGTGCCTGCGTTAGATTCCTTTTAGACAGGGTTGGCTTAGACCTTCTCCTGGGCCTTCTTCCCTCTGACCTCCCATTCAGGCCTGGCCCTTTGGCCTTGCTTCAAGGTTTTGTCCGCTCTTTGGAGCTGCCATATGCTGGGTCAGACCAGAACCGGGGGCAGAGGCTAAAGGTGAGACCCACTCCCTCCTGTCTAGGAGCAAGGGGCTGGGGGCGGGGGCTACCCTGGCAGCCAGGAGTTCTGGAGCCAGTGATATAGCTGGGACAGTGGTGGTCAGGGTGAGCTTAGGCTGGGGTTGGGGTAATGATTCAGGACAACACCCTGCTCTGAGATATTGTTAACTGGTGAGGAAGAGGAGGAACTCAGGGCTACAAGACACAAACTAAGTTTCTGTAACCACGACTCAAAATCAGGCTTGGTCACAGGACTAAGCGAGGCACCTAATTACTAAGCGAGTGCAGACGAGGACAACAACAAGCCTTCCTTGAGGGTCTCTGAATTTCACTGGTCAAAGAACAGGCAGTCCTCGGTCTGCATTTGTGGCAGGAGTCCCAGCTGGGGCTGGGGAGCCCAGGGAGGACACCAGAGCGGGTTCTCACCCTTGCCAAAACCACAGCCCCACAGTGGCCTCAGCGCCCAGCCCTGGTTTGGACCTGAGCTACCCCACATCCTGGTCCCCACTACAGTGTGAACCATGACATGTCCCAGTATGGCCATCTCTGCGTCCAGTCCCAATTAGGCAGCCCCAAATATAAGCGACCCAGAGGGCTCTGGCTCAGACCAAAAGCATCTGAAGGGTCCATGTGGGATCCTGGCTATCCACCCTGCCCTGCACCTCATTTCTTCCTGAGCTCCAAGGTTACACAAGTGGCAGGCTGCTCAGGCCAAATTCCGCCTCTGTCCCAATCCTTGATCCACTAACACACAATACCAGGTCAGAAGCGGTTATGCAGCCCTTGGATACAAACAGCCAGCTTCCTGCACTCACTCACTGGGCTGGCTATGTTTGCCATACAAACAGGACAAAGTCCAGGCCTCCTGACCCCAGGGAATAAAGCCTGCAGCTTTGCTTTGCTACACTTTAAAGCACAGGCTGCTTTCAAGTTAACTAGGCACTCCTTCGCCTTCTCCAGCAAGGCTGAATCCACGGTTCTCTGCTAGTGTAGGTGGGCTCAGCTCCTGGCCCCTTTGCAGGCTTGCCTCAAGTTTTGGGTTTGACAACCAAGGGACTCTTGTGCACTAAAGTTTGGAGACAAACACTTTGAGAGGAGAAAAAGTGTGACCCAAATAGTAGAAAGCATTCTCTGAGACTCAGTTAAGGTTGTTTTAGCTCTGGTTAAACATGCATGTGTGTGCTCACACGCTCACACACACACCGTTGTATCATAAGCTGAATGCTATCTTTTCAAAAATCTGGCCAGTAGCTCATGCCTCTCATCTCAGCACTTTGGGAGGCCGAGGTGGGAGGATCACTTGAGCCCAGGAGTTTGAAACCAGCCTGAGCAACGTAGTGAGACCCTGTCTCTATAAAAATGTAAAAATCGTTTTCTAAATACGTACTTATGCTTTTGGCTACAGGTTTTTTAATCCCAGCTGGCAGGGCAGGGGAGATGTCGTCCAGGGCAGAGGTTGGGAGGCTTTCAGGCCACAGATTTCCACCATCTGCCAAGCTTCCCTGCTCTCCAGGGTCCCGGTTAGGAGCCCCTTATGAGAATGAAGAAGATCCATTTTGCTTTCAATAAGATATCAACGAGGTACTTCTCGGTTTTATTAGATATGGGAATTTCCAATTCAAGTCAGAAGCACCACAACCACTGCCATATTAGAAAGATCAGTACCCGAGAGCCCAGACTGTCACCCGGCTGGAAGCCTCTGGAGGAGGGCTCCCAGGGACCACTGACCTAATCAAGGGCCTCCTCCTTCACACACCACCCTCCACCCCAACCTTTATGCCTTCTTAGAGTCCTTCAGGGAAGGGACCCACTGCCAAGATTGTCCTTTCTGGCACCTAACTCTTCTGTCTGCTAGAAGACAGCAACGAGACTGCCCCTACAATGATGATGCCTATGGTGACCACATCTCAAAGAAGCTGAGATGGATCTCAGCCCTTTATTGTCACTTGGGAGGGAGAACCCAAATCTTAGTAAACAAAGACTTTCTCTCTTGAACCATTCACAGGAATACTGAAGGTAATGAAAATGAAAATGTGTAAACCATCCTTTGGAGCAGAGGCTACAAACTCACATGCCCGCCTGGACCAGCACCGGGCAGACGTCCTCCATGAGTGAAGTGCAGTGGGGGATGGGAAGGGTGGGGGAGGGGGTAATGGTGGTGGGGGTGAGCCGCAGCAGACTTGAGATGACAGCATGCCCCATCCTCCATCCAGAAAACTAGGTATTTTTTATACGTAATCTCCCGAGTTTCAAATATTGTCAATACATACAAAAGGTTATGAAGCCTTATAACTTCTGCCCTAGGCAAATTCCACACTTAAACAAAGCTCCCTCTCCCACCAAATAAGAAAACTTTAACAAGGTGATTACAAAGAAAATAAGAAATAGAAAATGGGCCGGGCGCGATGGCTCAAGCCTGTAATCCCAGCACTTTGGGAGGCCGAGGCGGGTGGATCACGAGGTCAGGAGATCGAGACCATCCTGGCTAACATGGTGAAACCCCGTCTCTACTAAAAATACAAAAAACTAGCCGGGTGTGGTGGCGGGCACCTGTAGTCCCAGCTACTCGGAGGCTGAGGCAGGAGAATGGCGTAAACCCGGGAGGCGGAGCTTGCAGTGAGCCGAGATCGCGCCACTGCACTCCAAGCCTGGGTGACACAGCGAGACTCCGTCTCAAAAAAAAAAAAAAAAAAAAAGAAAAAAAAGAAATAGAAAATGATAGCAGCTTCAAACATACCAGTCTCCCTGTTTTAAAACAAAATCAATAAAATCAGTGAATCACAATTCATTGAGCTCATTCTTGTCTACAAGGAAGCAGCTGGATGGATCTACTGGCAGGTAGTCCTGCAGGATTAAAATGAGGCCCACTGCCAAAAAAAAAACCCCAAATAAGATGCCGTCCTGCTCGTCCTCATACCATCCTCATCAGGCAGGGAAGGAATAGGATTAGACTCCCTATTAGGGAGAATAGGTTGAGGCACAGAGCAGGAAGGGCCCCTCCTCAATATCACAGAGCCCCTCTGTTGGGTCAGACCAGAACTGGGGGCAGAGGCTAAAGGTGAGACCCATTGCTGTCCAGGAGCAAGGGGCTGGCGGTAGGGGCTACCCTGGCAGCCGGGAGTTCTGGGGCCAGTGATATAGAGCCCCCCAACCAAAACAGGTTTCCCATTGCACCATTTGGCACCATCTTGGAGACAGCTGAAATAACGAATCAAAGTTAGGCAGCACCTTGCAGGGCACTGAGCAAATAGTAGGCACAGTTGTGTGTCTCCTGAGTAAACTGTGCATCATGAATGAAGGGAGCTACTTCCCTCAGCTAGTGCCTCCCCTCCAGGGAAATCCAGGAGCTGCCTTTGCCATTCCGAAGACTCTGGATTTCTCCAAGGCAGGCAAAGAAGACAAGGGAGGTAATGGTGAGTTCCCTCTGCGAGTAAACACATGGATTTCCCGGCTCTAAGGGAACATCATCGGTTCTGTCAGACTCACAGACACACAGGAAGGGATTCCAGAACCCCACAGAAACACAGAACCCAGCGGGGCTGTGTCTGCAATAAGCTTAGGCTCGGACCTGAGACCTACAGCAAGTCCATACCCAGTAGTCCAAGCCCCTGGCTTTCCTTCTGTTTGGTGCCTATAGGAATTCCCTAGCATCCTTATACCCAGAGGACTTGGCACAGAAAGTCGATGTCAACATGAGAAAGAAAGAGGCTCTTTGTTCTCCCAGGCATGCATGGCTATTTCTGTCCCCGCCCTGAGGCACACAGACCTTCTTGGCCCTGGCCCGACAAGCCCCCAGGGCAACAGTGTGGTCTTTATTTTGGCTTGCTCTGGGAGCCAAGGTCCAGGGAAGCCTGACCCTCTGTGCTCTGGGGGACCGTGACAGGGAGAAGGCATTGGCTCAGCCAGAATGTCTCAAAGGTACTACAGCTGGCATTGAATGGACCAATTCTTTGCTGTCGGAGACTGTTCTGCACATTGTGGGACGTCCACTAGATACCAGGTGTGCCCCCACAGTCACTGTGACCCCCTCAACACACACACGTTTCCAGTGCTGCCTGGAGGGACAAGCTGCCCCTGGTTTAAAGTCACTGGGCTGGTGGCCCCCTCATGCATTTGTGAAACAGAAGGCCCAGAGACTAAGTGACATGTGTAAGGCCACACCTCAGCTCTGATGACTTCTGGCCCAGAATTCTTCCCAGCTGCACTCTCAATGATTGGTGCCCATGCATGTGCCCGGAACACTGCAAACACACCATGGGATGCCACAGCTCTGCAGAGCCTCAAAGCAGAGAGCTATCTGTCTCAGTGGCTCAGAGAAACCGAGCAAGAGAGACAAAATAACCTCCCTGCGATCAGACTCAGCAAATGCTGGGTGGGGAGTAGGTTCCCCGGGGAGACACTGTTTTAGGTCCTGCTTGTCCTAGTAAGTCCCACCGTCTAGCTGGTAACTGTGAGTGTGGCAGGCCTCCAGCAGGCGGGGCTTTCTGTAGTCTCCATGGAGACCTGGGGGCCAGTGAGAGGGAGCCAACCCCCAGCCTGTAGGTTAGAGCCAGGGACAGCCCAAGGGTCCAGCCTTCATCTTGATTCTCCAGTGGGCTCAGCAGGAGTGTGGACAACTCCATCACAGGCTTCTGACCCCCTTCCAAGGTCCTCACAGTCTCCATTGGGAAATACGGCTGTTAGTGCCAGCTCCTCCTCAGGTTCCTGGAAGTTTTCTGGAACACAGGAGAAGAAATCACTGAATCAGAAGAGAAAGGTTATGAGTGAGTTATCTAGGAAGGAAAAGGAGAAAGTTGGCCCCAGCAAATATCTAGTTAAAAACTAAAACAAAATACATATCAAAAACCTTAACAATGTACATACCCTTTGACCCACAAATTTCACTTCTAGGATTTTATCCTAAGAAAATAATTAGGAATAATTAGTGGACCTGCTGGAGCTATCTTGCTACTGGCCTAAGGATGAAACTGACACTGAAGATGGCCCAACAGAGAGAAAGAGCAAGCCTGGGTCCTTGCTGGGGTCCCTGACCCCCTGAATCAACCAACTCTGAAGCTGACTCCACCTCTGGACTGTCTTTTAGGTGAGATAATGATTTCTCTTACTGCTTGTGCTAGTGTGAGTCATGGTATCTTTACTTGCAGTTGAAAGTGTCCTGATTCAATGTCCAACAATGGGACTGGTTGAGTGAACTATGGCTCACTCATATAATGGGATTCAGGCATTAAAGATAATACATAAAATTCCACAGACCTAAACACACACACACACACACACACACACACACACACACACACACACACACATTGAATAGAAGTAAAATTGGGGAAATCTGAATAAGATCTGTGGATTGTGCCAATGTCAATATCCCGTTTGTTCTATTGCACTACAGTTTTGCAAAATGTTACCATTGGGGGAAACTGGGCAAAGTGTACGCAGGATCTCTCTGTGTGATTTCCTTTTTTGTTTTTTGAGACGGGGTCTCACTGTGTCACTCATGCTGGTCTCGAACTCCTGAGCTCAAGCTGTCCTCCTGCCTCGGCCTCACAAAGTGCTGGGATTTCTGTATGATTTCTTGCCACTGCGTGTTAATCTAGAATTACCTCAAAAAAGAAAATATGTTATTGACATATAATTATTGCTGTGGAAGGCAGTTATAGTATGTTATTGATGAAGAAAGAAGATTCCAAAACAGTAAGTACAGTCATGTGCAACATAATGACATTTTGGTCAATTATGAACCTTAATAAGAGAGTGGTCCCATAAGATTGAAACACAGCTGGCCGGGCATGGTGGCTCATGCCTGTAATCCCAGCACTTTGGGAGGCCAAGGCGGGCAGATCACAAGGTCAGGAGATTGAGACCATCCTGGCTAACACAGTGAAACCTTGTCTCTACTAAAAATACAAAAAATTAGCCAGGTGTGGTGGTGGGCGCCTGCAGTTCCAACTACTCGGGAGGCCGAGGCGCAGGAGAATGGCGTGAACTCGGGAGGCGGAACTTGCAGTGAGCCGAGACTGCGCCACTGCACTCCAGCCTGGGCAACAGAGCAAGACTCCATTGCAAAAAAAAAAAAAAAAAAAAAAAGATTGAAACACAGCTAAAAAATTCCTGTCACCTAGTAACCTTGTAGCTGTCCTGATGTTGCAGTACAAAGCATTACTTACATGTTTGTGGCAATGCTGGTGGAAACCTACCGCACTGCCAATCATACAAAAGTCTAGCACATACAGTTATATACCGTGGACAATGTAGACAATACTTGATAATAATAAGAAATGAGGCCGGGCGCCGTGGCTCACGCCTGTAATCCCAGCACTTTGGGAGGCCGAGGCGGGCGGATCACAAGGTCAGGAGATCGAGACCACGGTGAAACCCCATCTCTACTAAAAATACAAAAAATTAGCCGGGCGCGGTTGTGGGCGCCTGTGGTCCCAGCTACTCGGGATGCTGAGGCAGGAGAATGGCGTGAACCCGGGAGGCGGAGCTTGCAGTGAGCCGAGATTGCGCCACTGCACTCCAGCCTGGGCGACAGAGCGAGACTCCGTCTCAAAAAAAAAAAAAAAAAAAAAAAAGAAATGACTGTTACTGTTCTCTCTCTCTCCATATATATACATATATATACACATATATATGGGGGGAGAGAGAGAGAGAGAGAGAGAGAGAGCAATGCCGCTGGAGTGCATTGGCAAAATCTCGGCTCACTGCAACCTCTGCCTCCCAGGTTCAAGCAGTTCTCCTGCCTGAGCCTCCCAAGTAGCTGAGATTACAGGCAGTGCCACCACGCCTAGCTAATTTGTGTATTTTTAGTAGAGATGGGGTTTCACCATGCGGGCCAGGCTGGTTTGGAACTCCTGACTTCAAGTGATCCGCCAGCCTCAGCCTACTACATGTTTTAACATTATTTTAGAGTGTACTCCCTCTACTTATATATGTATATATATAAAGATATATATATACACACACACATATAAAGTTTACATATATATATAGTTAATTGTAAAACTGCCTCAGGCAGGCCCTTCAAGAAGTATCCAGAAGAAGGCATTATCGTAGGAGGTGACAGCTCCATGTGTGTTATTGTCCCTGAAGACCTTCCAGTGGGACAAGATGTGGAGGCAGAAGACAGTGATACTGATGATCCTGACCTTGTGTGTAGGTGTAGGCTAAGGCACATGTTTATGTCTTAGTTTTTAGCAAAAAAAAAAAAAAAAAAAAAAAAAAAAAAAATTAAAATAGGAAAAGCTTATTGAATAAGGATATAAAGAAAGAAAGTATTTTTGTACATTTCTACAATGTTTTGTGTTTTAAGCCAAGTATTACTACAAAAGAGGCAAAAAGCCCTTTTAGTAATTTAAAAAGGTTTTTTTTTTTTTGAGACAGTCTCACTATGTTGTGTAGGCTGCAGTCCAATCGCAGGATTACAGCCTTGAACTGTTGGGCCTGAGCGATCCTCCTGCCTTGGCCTCTGGAGTAGCAGGGACTACAGGCACGCACCATCACACCTGGCTACAAAATCAAAAAGTTTATAAAGTAAAAAAGTTACAGTCAGCTAAGGTTAAGTTATTGTTGAAGAAAGAAATATTTTACAATAAATGTGGTGTAGCCTAAGTGTGCTGTGTCTCTATAGTCAACAGTAGTGCACAGTAATGTCCTAGGTCTTCCCATTCACTCACCACTCACTTGCTGACTTAGCCAGAGCAACTTCCAGCCTTGCAAGCTTCATTCATGGTAAGTGCCCTAGGCAGATGTACCGTTTTGATCTTTGATAGCATATTTTTACTGCGCCTTTACTATGTTTAGGTATGTTGAGACACACAGCTACTTACCACTGTGTTACAGTTGCCCATAATATTCAGGACCGTAACCTGCTGCACAGGGTTGTAGACTAGGAGCAACAGGCTATGCCGTGTGCCATAGGCGTGTAGTAGGTTGTACCATCCAGGTTTGTAAGTACACTCTATCGTGTTCACATGACAAAATCCCCTAAAGATGTATCTTTCAGAATGTATATCCCTGTCATTAAGCAACTCATGATTGTATAAATGCATGTGATTATGACATCCTATATTTATCATATAGTATCAATGTGTGTACATAGTCCATAAATGCCATTTGCATTTTAACACATTCACTTCTACATGAGATTTGTACATACCACAGAGAGAGAAATTATCCAAAATTTATGTAAAATGGTTAATGATTCTGTTGCTTCATCTTTTCTCCTTTAGTTTCCAGGTATATCCAAAATGAAGGCAGAGGGGTTGAAGTTAGCAGTTTTGCAATTAAACATTTTAAAAATCTGCTGCATTTTGAAGATGATATAGGAGTTTATTAAATTTTAAATAGCACAAGGAGAGATAGGTAAATAGAATGGTGTACCCCAAAATATAATTGTAGTTATCTCTGCATGATGGAATTAGTGAATGGTATTTCACATTTGTTTTCTTTCTTTTTTTTTTTTTGTTTATTTTTTTTTTTGAGTTTTCAAATATGATAGGCAGAATTCTAAGATAGCCCCCAAGATTCTGGCCCCTTAGAAAGCCCTTCCTTGAGTCTGATGGGCTCTGTGAATGTGACAGCTTAGTCACTCTGGGGCGTAGGGTGCCTCTCTGACAAACGCAGTGGCTAGTGACTCCCTTGACCCCTTAAGTTATATGAACTCCCTCCTAGCAGACTGGAGAGGGGGTTCTCCTGCTGGCTGAAGGAGGATCTCTTGTGAGAGGGCTTGTGAGAGCAAGGAATGGCAGGGGCCTCGGAGCTGAGAGCAGTCCCAGCTGACAGCCAGCAAGAAGTCAGGGACCTAATCAGTGCCTTTGAAGCTGCGAAGCTTGCAATTATTTATTTATTTATTTATTTTGAGATGGAGTAGCTGGGATTACAGGCATGTGTCACCACGCCTGGCTAACTTTGTATTTTTAGTAGAGATAGGGTTTCACCATATTGGTCAGGCTGGTTTTGAACTCCTGACCTCAGGTCATCTGCCCACCTCGGCCTCCCAAAGTGCTGGGATTACAGGCATGAGCCACCATGCCCGACCTACTTGCGATCATTTCTTATGCAGCAATGAAGACTGACACATCAACTAATGGTTTTCTTTCTTAAACAAGAGGCACAATGAAAGTTAATTTTGAACCACCGTTCATTGTTTCTGTAACAAAGCTATACTTCTCAGTGCACTTTGGGACAGGGCTATGTCCATTCAGCAGGCTACATCCTTCCGAGTACTGTAGCCACTCCCATCCACGGCATAACTATCCACAGTTTCAGTTACCTGCGGTACAGTCCAATAAGATATTTTCAAAGAGATACCTCATTCATGTAACTTTTATTATATATTGTTAAATGTCTTCACTGTGCCTAGTTTATAAATTAAGCTTTATCGTAGGTATGTATGTACAGGAAAAAACAGTGTATACGTCGGGCTTAGTGCTACCCATGGTTTTAGGCATCCGCAGGTGTCTTAAAGCATCTCATGTGGCAAAGGGGAGAATCAGTGCGCTTCCTATGTCCCTAACATCAGCATTGACATCTAGGGGTGTCTTCCCCTTCCCCTTCTCCCTCACTTCCATTTAGTGGCCTGATGATTCCACCCAGGTGTGGCTCCCGGCTGAGTTTTCTCCCCTCCATTCCCACTGCCCAGGTCAGGCCCAGGTCACCTGTTACCCCTCCTGGGACATGGCAGCCTCCTCCTAGCTGGGCTCTGCCGAGGTGTCTCCCTCTCCTGGAGTCCACCTCTCTAAACACACCCCAATCTCTCCACTCAGCAATCGCTCACGGCACACTACTTCTGAAGGCTGCACATCTGGGACCCTGATTTGGTCCAAACTCTTCCCTTCAGCCTTGGCCCTCACTGGTTTCCTTCTGCACCTTACTCCCGGGGCCTCTCGATGGTGGTCCCTTGTCTGATCATGACATCATGCTGTCACTCCTTAGCTCAGTGCTCCTTTTCTAAACCTTCCCATTTCTGCCTATGAAAATCCCTTCATCCCCCAGTTCAAACGTCACTAGCTCCAGGACACTTCCTGGATCCTCCAGGGAGACTCGCTGTGTTTGGTCCCATGCACCCCAGCATGCACCTGGAGACGCCTTTGTTACAATCCTCCCCATACTGTCTTTATTAGGTGGAGACTCCTGGGGAAAGAACCCAGCCTGACCGAGCGCATGTGCCCACTGCCTGGCATATGGGCACCTCACATTGCTCACCCCCACACCTGGCACATGGCAAGCACTCCATAGATATTGGTCCACTCTGTCCCTAAGGTCCCCAAGTTCATGTGACCACTCCCATAATTCCGTGCACCTGGCCCTCAGGGTGCAGGAAGTCGGGGAGCACTCACCATGAGCTGGGCTTCTGCAGGCAGCAACATCCTGGTCCTTCCTCCGGCTCCAGGGACCCCAGGAAAAGCAGGCCAGCAGTCCAGGGAGGGCTGGTCTCTCCCAGGCTCCTTCCACTAGGAAGAACACAAAACCTGAGTCAGAGGGTCACATGGTTTCCACTTCACAAGACTGAGAGATTTTGTTTAGCAAATCAAGAGCCTCAACTGTCAACTGCTCTAGTTTCAACTGTCTGATTAAAAACACGAAGTCTGACTTGCAAAAGTGGGTGGGTTTTTGTACTTTAAAAACGAACTTTAAAAATGATTGCTTTACTTTATCTATGTTATCTCATTTAATTCTCACAAAAACCCTATGATGTAGGTACCATGTTGGGGAAACTAAAGCATTGAAAATGACATGAAATTAATTACAATTACATAGCACCAAACAAAATACTCAAAGAGCTGCACATTCCCTCTGATTTTAGTTCAAACTCTTTCTTGGCAGGAATAGATATATGTTTTAGTAATCTATAAAGTCAACAGGAACAAGGTTGTTTATTTGTTTGGTTGGTTTTTTTTTAAAGACTTCAGGCAACCAAAACAAGGAAAATCCTTGTTCATAATCTTTGTTCAGGACCTATTTACTCTCAACCTGCGCCCAAATGTAATGAGACTGTATCCTTAGTTTTTCAACCCAAAAGCAGCTGGATTAGGTACCACAAACTGGGTAAAAGGGCACTGCCAAAAGGCAAGCAACCTAGAATAAAAATTATCATCAGACGGTGAGGAAAGAAATCAGAAAACTTTAAAAAAACAGATGCAACCACTAGCGAAATCTTAGTGACATGAATCCATTTGATGTGAGGATAATAGTGCTGTCCATTGCAAAAGCGGCAAAGAAATCAGTGGGCTATAAGTTATAATTACACTCGTTACCTTTAGTCATTTGTGAGGTTTAATTTTGTTCAGTATGTTTTCATAAAAGTAGGAAAGTGCTTAACATAGTAGAGAACAATTCCTTTGCAAAGTGTTAAAATCTCAAAAGTATTAGTGTTTATTTAAAAGGAAGGGAGGATTCATTCACTCTTTCTGCATGCCAGGCATGGTATCAGGAAATGGGACTGCGGATGGTGTTTAAACCCACAAGAGAACAAAATCATGTTCACAAGGGAACGAAAAATCATGTGGTAAGAGCTCAGAGAGCAAAGCGATAAAGGGTTCTGGGATTTCGCCAGTGAACTTGCAAATGGGAGCAGGGAAAGTCAAGGAAGCCTTCCTGGAGGAGGAAGTCCAGTTCTGAATGCACAAATGGGATTGGCCAGGTGAGGAGGAGGGAGGAGAAAAGGCTCTTAGGCTGAGGCAACAGCAATGTGTCTACAAAAAGTTTAGGAGGGACTGGGCGTGGTAGTTCACGCCTGTAATCCTGGCACTTTGGGAGGCCAAAGTGGGTGGATCACTTGAGGTCAGGAGTTCGAGACTAGCCTGGTCAATATGGCGGAACCCCGTCTCTACTAAAAATACAAAAATTAGCTGGGCGTGGTGGCAGGCGCCTGTAGTCCCAGCTACTTGGGAGGTTGAGATGGGAGAATCGCTTGAACTCGGGAGGCGGAGGTTGCAGTGAGTCGAGATCGCACCACTGCCACTCCAGCCTGGGCAACAAAGCAAAACATCATCTAAAAAAAAGAAAAAGCATGCACTCTTTAGGGTACAGAAAATGTGTGTGAATTCCCTTCTTTCCCTAGGAGGCCAGGTCAGCAAAGCAGTTGAAACCAAAATCAGAACAATCACAACCTCAACAAAAAAAAGGGATTGCGCCCTAAGGGAGGAGGGTTAGGGCAGGCGCACCCGCCTAGGCAGGCCAGGCTGGCAGGTGAATGTGACATTGGTAGCATCACAGATACCAGGTCTCCTTGCTGGAACCCCCCGCCCCCCGACCAACGCCAATACCCCAGGAGACACACAATACAGCCACTCTCTGCATTATCTACTTAAGAGGAAGAGGCTGGAGGGCGTGAAGGGCTGCCCAGCTGGGCAGTGAGAGAAAGCAAAGATCTCCTGGGTTTGCCAGATGCAGCAACTCCTAATGTGCATGTTTTCATCCTAGAACACGGGAGAGTTCCCGTAAAGCCTTGCGTTCCAGGAGGAAGGAGATCCTGACCCTTTTGCTGATGGCAGCAGTCACGGGGGCTGGGAAAAGACCCTTAAACCCCTTCCACCTTTTAGGAGAATGTGGAGGGAAAAGGTGGCCTCAGCAGACCTGGGGGAGGCAGAGAGACACAGCAGTTGGGTGCACAGCCTTGGTGGGCGGCCAGAAATCACTAGAAAATGTGCTCTTAGTCCCTCTCACCTCCCCACTCTCCAAGTCCCGAGCACCCGTTCCTTGCCCTCTTAATAAAACCAGGGCTTCCAAGAAGCCTCCACCGCGCTGGACATGCCCCTCCGCCCCTCCTAGGGCTCCCGACGCATGTCTAGCTGCGCAGCGCCCTAGAATTTAGCTCCTGATACCGCCAATCTCCTTAGCCCCTATCCACCCCCTTGAAACTTTCCCATCCCAAGGCTTTCCCATTTCCTTCCCTAACCCTCTTTTCCTCTCCCCGCCCTCACCCACCCCCTAACTCCTAGATCTCGGCCCTGCCCGATTCATCCCTTCTCTCTACCCACTCCCTCTGCCTTCTGCTCGGCCTCTCAGCTTTCCTACGCCCCCTAGGCATCTCCCGTGCACTCGGGACCCTTCCGGGACAGACTCGACCCCCTACGCAGGGCCTGTTCTCTGCTAGCTGCGCGGCCTGGCTCTAGGCACCTCCCTGCTCTGAGCCTCAGTTTACCTCGGTGCTCAATGAGGGGGACTGGCCAAAGGGGTCCAACTTGGGGGACGTGCCCGAGCTACCGCCCGCCCGCGCCCCGCCGGGCCCCGCGCAGTCTCACCTGGTTGCCCGGCTCCTGCGGCTTGCAGGGCCCTGCAGGCGGCCGCCTGGACGGCCAGGCAGGAGGACGGGAGGCCGGGGCAGTAGGCGGCCGCCTGCACGGGACCTCCCGCCTGGCGGCCGAACACGGCGCGCAGCAGCGCCTCCAGCAGCCGCAGCCCCGGCGCCACCGCGTCCTCCGGCCCGGCCTCGGCCACCAGCACCCCGACCAGCGCCGCCCCGGCCCGCCGCCGGCCGCGCACGTCCCGCAGCATCTCCCGCAGGCGGCGCCGCGGCTCCCGGGCGGTCAGGGATGACGCGCGGCACAGCACGAAGACCAGCTGCGAGCGGATGGCGCGCGCAGCCGCCGCCCCCGCCGTCCTCGCCGCCCCAGTCGTCCGCGCAGCCCTCTGCGCCCCGCGCGCCGCCCCGGGCCCTGCGCCCTCTGCAGCCGCGCCGCCTGGCTTGCCCGCGCCTGGCTCCGGCGGGAACACCGCTCTTGCGAAGTCCTGCAGGAGCGCGCGGCTCTGCTCGCGCTCCCACAGCTCGCCCACCAGTAGCACCTGCCCGCGGCCCCCAGCCGCCTCCACCAGCGCCTGGAAGGGCGGCTCGGCCGGGCGCTCGGGCCGGGCCGACAGCGCCTCCAGCTCGCGCTCCATGCTGGCTGCCGCCCGCCCTCTGCGGCCGCTGCGGCTCGGGCGCACCCGCTGCCCGCCTCTCGGGGCGGTGGCGCCCCGGCACGGAGGACACGCCCCGGAGGGCCGAGCCCAGCCGGACCCCCGGGCCCCCGGGCGGGGCCTCTGTGTGCACGCTCCCCTGGGCGCAGCCCTCATCGCGGGCCCGGGTTGGAGAAGAGGGCTTTCCCCCCAGCCCTCCAAGGGTGGCTCCTCCCGAAGTCCCTGCGCAGACGTGGGAAAACGGAGAGTCATTCATTCATTCATTAATCCATGCCACACATACTCACTGAGCACCTACTAGGTGCAGGCGCTGGGCAGCCGAGGGTGGGAAGACAGACAATTAATCCCATCACTAGATAAGATGGTTTGGAGACCTGGAGCAGAGTCCCGCACAGTTTGGGGTTTTGCGGAGGTGGGGTGGAGGGTAGGGGGGTAAGGGGCGGAGGGCGCAGATAAGTGGGTAGGAAGGTGAGATAAAAGAGAGCACGCAGGGGTTATTTCTGCTATCCAGCTTTCCTTCTGGTCTTCAACATTTAGCAAAAACTGACCGAGGGTCCACTATTTCCACAAATATTTATTGTACTGCCCTAGGCGCTGGGGGTGAAACCCAGACTGTTTCCGTAAAGCAGAAAGTCAAGGGGGCCAGATGCAGGACACCGATGGTGCTCTGATCTGCGTGGGGGGCAAGGGGCCAGGTCAGAAGCAGGAATGCATTTCCCTTCCTTGTAAGGATCTAGGTCAGCCTTGTCCAATAGAACATTCTGCGATGATGGAAAAGTTTTATATTATCTGCACCATATGTGACTATTATTGAGTACTTGAAATCTGGCGAGTGCAACGGAAGAACTGAGTTTTACATCTCACATATTTTTTAATGAAATGTAAAATTAAAGCAGAAAGTGACAAGATGATAATGTACTTAAAGGGCTGGCGCCTTCCTCTGAATAGTACCCTAAAGATGCCGCAGAAGGAAGAGGGGAGTTAGTAAGGACTCTGAGAAACCAGTGTAAAACCGGGAAAGGCCTGTCGCCTCCTCCCCTCAGTGCTATAGAAGGGGGATGGGCTGAGCGAACACTATACACTTATGCTCTTTTCTTTGCCTGCATTGGCCTGAGTAGACCATTTCTTAACCCCATCTCCACCCCCCACCACTGCCATGGTGCTAGGAGGCAGAAAACAGCTGTGCTAGCCAGGGATGGCGATATCAGGCTGGGGCTAGCAGCACGGAACAACCAGACCGGGCAGCCCCTTCTTCTCACTTCATGAGTCAGGAATTCCAACCACAAGACCCACCATATGAAAGAGCATTCATTGGCCAGGGGAGAGTGCCGAGAAGTTCCCTGAGTGGAGTGTCTGGTGTGTGTGAGGGTGGTACATGGGGAGTGGCTACATTCACATTTGATGCCAGAGGCAAGTCCCATCACACCCCTCTTCCTTAAGCTCCCAGGTGGGATATAGGAAGAGCCTAGGTTTACTCATCCCCAGCCAAGGTAGCTGATATCTAGGGAAACGTGAATTCACTGGGAAAAATAATTAGACTTCTGGGGGCGGGTGCTGTGGCTTATGCATGTAATCCCAGCACTTTGGAAGGCCAAGGCCGGTAGATCATCTGAGGTCAGGGGCTCGAGACCGGCCTGACCAACATGGAGAAACCCTGTCTCTACTAAAAATACAAAATTAGCCGGCCAAGGTGGCGCATACCTGTAGTCCCAGCTACTTGGGAGGCTGAGGTAGGAGAATGGCTTGAACCCAGGAGGTGGAGGTTTTGGTGAGCCAAGATCATACCATTACACTCCAGCCTGGGCATCAAGAGCAAAACTCTGCCTCAAAAAATAAAATAAAATACAAAATAAAAATAATTAGATTTCTGGAAAGTATAAAACAAAGCAGGTTTAATGGATATATGAATTAAGATTCATTTCTTAATGACACAGACAATACTAATAACAATGAAAACTTCTTTTTCTCTTTTGTAGAATCTGGAGATGGACAGTTTGTGGCTGAAATAGTATAATAGTTCTGCTTTACTAGGTGTTTGAGGACTCAAATTTCATACCAGGTCACTGTTGCCCTCTGACATCTTCATGATCCAAATTGGCAGCTAAAACTTGGGGCATCACACCTGTATTCCCAGAAGCTGGATAGTAGAAGGACTAAGGAAGGAACAAAAATCTGGTTGACTTCAGATTTCTTAGCAACAACATTGAGTTTAAGAAAAAATGGAAAAATTGTTTTAAAGTATCAAAGAAAAATAACTTTGACCCTAGATTTGTATTTCTAGCTAAATTATCAGGTATGTAAAGAATCAGAAGGCATATCACATATAACCCCTCTTTGAAAACACTATTGGAGGAAGTACCCCATCAAAAAGGAAACTAAATTGGGCTGGGCATGGTGGCTTATGCCTGTAACCTTAGCACTTTGGGAGGCTGAGGCCGGCAGATCATCTGAAGTCAGGAGTTAGAGACCAGGCTGACCAAAATGGCGAAAGCCTGTCTCTACTAGAAATACAAAAATTAGCTGGGCATGGTGGTGTGTGCCTGTAATCCCAGCTACTTGGGGGGCTGAGGCAGGAGACTCGCTTGAACCCAGGAGGCGGAGGTTGCAGTGAGCCGAGATTACACCACTGCACTCCAGCCTGGGCAGCAGAGTGAAGCCGTGTAAAAAAAAAAAAAAAAAAGGAACCAAGAGTGCTCAATAATAGCAAGTAAGAGGGATTAAATCACTTGTCTAAATAACAGTGCAAGGCCATACCACCAAAGCACAGCCTAAGTGGGTATAATAGACTGGGAGTATGGGTGGCAGAGCCGGGGCGAAACCTACAAGTTGACCGAAAAGGGAATTAACCCCATGTAGGCCACCTCTGAGGAAGAGAGAAAGACAAGTTCTAGAGAAGAACTGTCAGGTATACTGGGATTTTTAGCACATTCTTACAAGGCTTGTCTAAAACCAACATGCTCTGCCTCCTAAGCTATATATTCTCAGCCTCTAAATCTCCACAACTAATTACAAATTTCCATAGGTGGGATGGGGGATGGATCAGAGGGGGGTGGAATGTTAAACAAAGGTTGGAGTCCAGGGCTAGTACAGTTTATCTTTATCTGTGTTATTTACACAGCAAAGGTTCTGGTATTAAATTAACAGGAAATTGCAAAGATCCTTTTTTTTTTTTTTAAAAAAAAGGCAAGATGCCAAGAATATTTCTTCCTCCTCTCCCTTCACACCCTGAAAACATCATAAAATTAATGGACTTCTTCGTTCTCTGGTGTTCAATGAAGATATAAAGTAAACTGGGATTTCTGAAATACTTTACCTTTTCATGTTCACTTAAACAGAATTTGGTGGGAATCAAGTGATAAGAGGCTGGTGTGGTGGCTCACACCTGTAATCCTGGTACCTTGGGAAACTGAGGCGGGAGGATTGATTGAGTCCAGGAGTTTCAGACCAGCCTGGGCCTCATAGCGAGACCCCATCCCTATACAAACAAACAAACAAAAATCAAAAAGCTAGTTGAGTGTGGTGGTGTGTACCTAGTCCCAGTTACTCCTTGGGAGGTTGAGGTGGGTGGATGGCTTGAGCCCAGGAGGTTGAGGCTGCAGTGAGCCGTGATTGCGCCACCGCACTCCGGCCTGGGTGAGAGATCAAAAACAAAACAAAACACAAAAAAACCAAAACCAAAAACAAAACAAACCAAAACAAACAAAAAAAAACCAAACCAAAACAGAGTGACGAGAAAGTGCTGGTTTGGAAAACAAGGAGTATTCTCCCTCTAGTTGCTTGCCAGCTCCTTTCTCCTCTTTACTCACGCTCTGTCACCCTATTCTCCTCTCCTTCTTTCTTCCTTTCCTCCCTTCTCCTCTCCCCACCTTGCCCTTTCTCTCTTCCTTCCTTTCCTTCCTCTCTTGTTTCCCTGTACTTTCCCTCTTTTTCCCTAAGATGTTTGATGTGGGGGCTACAAGGAAGCCTGGACCAGGGGAGACTTTCTGGCTTCCTGGGGAGCCAGGTAGAGGGAGGAAGACCTCAGAGGGAAAAGAAACTGGAGGAGGCCCCAGGACCCACGGAGGAATGAGGCTGAGGTGGGGAGAGGGGCTGGAAACTTGAAACTGGGTGTGACAAGCGCTGGGGGCCCCCGAGGTGGAGCAGACCTGCTCGCCGATGTGCTGGGGCCTCGTTTCCTCCTCTGCCAGGCCCAGGCTGGTTCCCATCAGGGCACCAGGAATGCAGATCTCTGTGCCAGCTGGTGTTCTTATGGCGGTTAAATATCTCAGTTTCACCTGAACTTTAGGGGTCTGGTGAAGGTTTGTTAACCCACTTATGCAGGAGGTTGCAATTTTTTGAATTGCTGACGTGTGAAAAATCAGACTTTGGCAATGACCTTGAGCAGTAGGCTATAAATAACTCCCGCATGCTCAGCGTTCCAATAATGGAACACTAGGCATAAATGGGATTTAAGAAGCCTGCAGGAAATGCTGAGGGGCAGAAGTCAGGCTTCAGTGCCTATCATGCTCCTGCTGAGCCCTGGACTAGTCAGTGGTGCCAGGAGGAGGGGCAGGCAGGCCCCCAGGACATACCTGTAGTGGCTGAGGGCATCACAGTGGGGGCAGTCCTCCATCAGCAGACACCTAGCACATAACTTGGGAGAGAGTGTGTGCACCTGTCACCTTGGTGGCCACACCTGCAAGGTGATTTTGTGGGGATCTGTGAGCATCTGAGGCCCCAGTAGGGGCAAGGAGGAGAACAGCAGCTCATCTGTGCCGCAAGGACATATGGTGACTTTGAAGCCACTCAATTTGGACCTCCTTTCAAATCTACCAGGCCAGATCAAGTGACAGCTTCAGTGTAAGTCTCCCAAGGTCCCCTCCTGGGAGAATGGCACCAGCCAAAAGTGGTCAGGAAGAAACCATGGTCTCTAAAAGCTGAATGGGGCCCCGGTTGGCCTTTCCCTCCCCCAGGACAGGGCTGCACCAACTGCACCCAAGCTGGTACCTCAACTGTCAGGCCCATTGA